AACAAAAAGGGACACCTCGCCACTGTTTGTAAAAGCGCCAAGTCTCTCGTCCCTCAGGTCGCAAGCAGGCGAAATTCAACAGCGTGTATCACAGCAGCTTGGCCTCCCTCTTTACACAAAGCAACCGTTCCGGCCATTATACGCGGGTTTAGAGCTGAAGCCCTTTTAGACACCGGTAGCTCGGTAAGTTTTATTAACGAAAAATTCGCCAACAAGTTCGGATTCAAAATAGACTTCTGCTACGCCACATTCTCCATGGCCTCGTTGAGTCACACCTCTAAAGTCGAAGGCCAAACTTCACAGTCCATTACCTTGGGAGATCATAAGTACAATAATGTGAATCTTCTTATAGTCAAAAATCTTTGCTCCGATCTAATTATCGGTCACGATGTGCTTCAAGAGCATTCATCATTAGAATTTTCATTTGGCGGTCCTAAAAACACTCTGCATGTGTGTAACGTGGCAGAGGCATCGGTACCGCCTGTGTCACTTTTCCCCATTATCTCTCCGGATTGCAAACCAGTCGCCATTAAATCACGTAGATACAACGACGAGGATAGCAAGTTTATCAAGGCTGAAATCGAGAAATTATTAACGGAAGGGGTAATAGAGGAGAGCAAATCTCCTTGGAGAGCACAGGTCTTTATAACTAGAAGCGAAACTCACAAAAAGCGACTAGTTATTGACTATTCCCAAACAATCAATCGCTATACGCAGCTTGACGCTTACCCTCTTCCTCGCGTAGAAGACTTAGTATCAAAAGTCGCCAAAAATAAATTTTTTAGTCTAATAGATTTAAAAAGCGCCTATCATCAAGTACCCATCTTACCTGAAGAAAAGAAATTTACGGCGTTTGAAGCACTTGGAAATTTATACAAATTTCGACGTATCCCCTATGGTGTCTCTAATGGGGTGTCATGTTTTCAGCGGACTATCGATTGGATTATACGGAGAGAAAAGCTGCAGGACACACACGCTTATCTCGACGGTATTACTATCTGCGGGCAAACGCGAGAAAATCACGCTCAGAACCTAGACCGATTCATGAACGCCGCTAAGAAATACGGTCTTACCCTCAGCCGCGATAAATGCAAATTTACACAAGGACGCCATCAATCTTCTTGGCTACAACATATCAAACCACATCATA